TGGTATATTCAACATGACTGACTGCTATGTAGGATAACCTATTTACCCTGAAAAGGTGGTCCAATTTGAAGGCGGAACCTTGCCGCGACATAAGGGTTAGAGCATGTTCGCAATTTTCATAGACTTTTTATATACTATCTACTACTGGACCCTGCACATACTGCTTATATCCGAATTGATGAATATATCGAAAGCAGCTGAAAAAGCCGCGGAGGTTATGGTCGTGGTAAATATGACCCGAACGCAGTTGCGATCATGCGGTCAACTTCTTTTACCAGACCAGAACATTGAAATCAGGTTCAAGTGAAAAACGCCATGGAAATCAGTTAGCATTAAAAGATCTCAGATATTACCGCTTCTTACAATTATCGCAAACTGAGAATTCAATAAGTTTTGTTATGATAATCCAAGACAAACTTACGTAAGACTCATTACTTGATCGTTCATCAAAGAGATAAGTGGTGATACTACCAGGGTCAGGAACGAAGACATTAGGCCCGGCAGTTGATAACATACACTTTTGCCGTATCCTAAAAAGTATGTCAACATTACCACTAAGAAGGAAACTTTCTGAGCAGAAAAATTCGGCAAACAAGAGTAATAAACAAACCTGTAGACATCAGCACAAGCTGATCCTTTCCTTCCAGAGCGTTTCGCACAATGTCCCACTGCTTAGGGCGGAAAGACGAATGACCGAAGTAATGCTGAAATAGGAAGTATGCTTTCATTGATGCACCTGTTCACATTCATTACACCAATTCATCACTTACTTTCACGCCTTTACTTTCTCTTCTGTGAATTATTCCTCTCATTCTAATACGCACTCTCTACGGGACTCATCCTTCCAATGACTACTACTTTAAAATGATATAAAAGCAATCCCACTGCTACCACGAGAACTAACTGATTTTAACTTCAGAATCTAATTGTGGTGTGGAACACTTGACTGCCACGCGGTGAATAGAAATGATTTATTCCGGTCTACGGTAGAAGTTCCAGAAAATACCGGAAGGTTTTCTTGAGGAACCATCATTCCTTTGATTACCACGAAGCACTAATGAGCTACGACAAATCACCTTTAATGTCTGCAGAGCCTTTTGAGAAGGTGTAGCACTCAAAAAAGTGCTGTCGCGAAATGATTGAGATCGGTTCCCTGTGGGCGTTGGCTTAGAAATATCGTCTAAATGTACATATTCTTGGAAATTGTATCGTAATGAAATCGTATGCTAAAAAAATTGAGAACACCACTACATTGGATAGGAGGTGGAGTTGGAGGTAGATTTTGTTCGTCTTCGTCATATTCGTCGCTGTCTTGTGTTGGCTTCCGTTTGCGAGTTGTTGCTAAACACAGGAGGACTTCATAAAAGAGGAGAATTCATCATTACATTCTGATATGGAATCTCTCATAACGTTCATTCATGTGAAAAAAGAACAGACCAGGCGGCGGAGTTGGTGGAGGATCGCTGAATTCATCATCATCATCATCTGGAGGAAGACTGCGTCCAGGCAAGGCTAAAATTATAACTTCGAGACAGATTCCAAAAAATTCACAGTCTGTTCACAGCAAACACAGCCTCGTCGTGAGATTTAACGAGCTCAAAAACCAACTATAGGTTAGATTTTTCATCATTTCGCCCCTACCAATGCCCGACTTATAAAGCGCACACATTAATGAAGGCAATGAAGTGTGAAACTGGTTCATTTTTTTGCCATTACAATGCCAATAGAATAGCACTCATATGATGCCTTGAATAAACTTTGGTAGGAATTGAGCCATCAGAAGTAACAAACGAACTTCACGAAACCTACACAAAAAAGCAACAGATTCGCCATGTGGCCGAAATTTCGAGTGTCCCAAGGCCTACGCATCCGCCACCAAACTGCCTGACCAGTGAATTTCCTTACCCCCGTATATAGGCTTCAAGGGTTTGGTGGCTCGCTAAAGATTAACTACAAAGTTCAAGTTTTTATATTCAACGCACCTTGAACTCCCTCAGCTGGAGGAGGCGTGGGCGGCAGAGAGTCATCGCAACTGTCTGAGCTGTTAAGAACATCTATCACACTGGGATTCTTGATAACGATCTCGTCATCGAAAGAATCATAGCCGCCTTCGGACATTTCCTAACAGCCCTGAAATAAAGTTTGGGACTCTTTCTCTAGCTAGATTATTCAGGAACGAAAACCTCCAGAAATATAGAAGAAAGAATTTGGTACACGATTAGTGCCGCTTGGTCTTTAGGCAGAAAGTGAACGCCCAACAAGACTGCCGCTCCTCTCAGATCTCTTCGTTTTTCTCAACTTATCAGTAAAGTGGCTCCGTGTTGCTATCCAATACCCCATTTGTTCGGAAGGAAAGTCTCTATGGGCAGGTTCACCCGCTTCCCAAATAGAGGGCTCCTACTGAAGGCTCCATCAGGTTAGTCGAGACGTACTCGATCCCTGTCAGTGCTTATAGAGCACAAATGCGGCCTGTTGAGGGTATCACTGTCTAATCTCAATTCCTTCTTGGAGCAAGCCCATATACGTACTCACTTCTTATGGGTTCACTGTCTTCTAGTGAGCCCGTTTGATTACCGACTGACACCGTAACGAAGAACAAAAAGGTTTTTTTTTCCAATTTAACTTTTTTGAACAAAATCTCATTAAAAAAGTTAACTAAACTTAATTTATAACAACTAAACTTCCATGCCCTTAATGACTGCACTTAAGATTGGCTTCTCACTGGTGGTGATCATTGAAGACATTCACAACTTTCCGAAAGTAATGATGGCAAAAAAGCCTTTCACGACAAAGGAACACTATAACACCCATATGAAAGTCGTAAACAATAGAGGTAAACATGTTTATTGTATTGAGCAGGTGAAACAATCGCGGTAGGAGGCACGCATTCATCAATCATCAAAAGCAACTATTTAACAACTAACAGTAAATCCTACACGAATTCGTAAAAACCTAACAGGAGAATGATAATGATAGACGTATTGCATACGAATTGAATGGGAGTCTAACACACTGTGTACACTTTCGGCTTTACAAGGTATCTGAATGATCTCTTCGCTAAGGATCCCCGCGAGAATTTGTGCCTAAAAAACATGGAGTTGTAAACAACTAGCAAATTTTGAACGAATAATATCACAGAATCAAAACGTAATATAGGAGTAGTCAGCTCACCGCAATCGCTTTGTATAGCTTAATCCTACAACTGATTGTACCTTGTCGCGATATCGCATAGCCACCTCGACTATGTTCAACGGTTCTGTATCGACGATAGGCACCACAGACGTATCCGTGCTGAAAGAAGTAGATATACCAAGATTTGGGCTGACTCGAAAAGTCAACCTTATGAAGGAGGCAAAAGACTTCGTCAACGAACCTTGGCTTACAACGATCTTTCAAGTAATAGCTCTCCTTCGAGAACTCTCCAAGAGGTGTTTCTGCGGCATTACGACCAAAGAAGAACACCCTAGAAGTTTCTGATTACTTCAAGCATCGAGTACAAACATGAAACAAACTCTAACTGACGACAAGCAATGTGGAGTAGAACTAACTGTTCCACTAACCTATCGGCTGTGATACCCCAAAGTCGAAGAAGTCCTTCTCGAGCCGCCATTTCCGTAGCAATTCGCAGTGTCTCACCAGCACCTTAAAGTATTCGCTCGAAAAGCAAAAACAAGGAATTGCAAAATGTGAGCAACTTACTTTGCCCAACTAACTCTGACTTGTCCTTGTAGATACCAACAACATACACTGGTTCAGCACTCACAGGACCGGAAGAGCGTAGTATCCGTGGTTCGACCTAAGTTCGTACACAGGTTATCGTAAAAGAACAAATACTCCTGTTGGAAAGTGATACCTCTCTAGGTTACCAAAAGTGCATGGTGTCCGTTACGGGGCAAAATTTCCAAAAAATACAAAAACGGGTGAGCACCAAAATTTTCAAAATGTACCTCTGAAGCTCCTCCTTGAGTTAGTAAGTCAGTCAATACGGCTAGAGGATCACGCAGATTGTAGACATCAGCAAAATCTATATCGATAATTTGCGGTATGACCATATCGATGATGAGATTTTTTGCTCGTTCTTCTCCAATAGCTGCTAACAGTGCTCGAAAGGCATCCGCGACTGAAGAAGCTGCAGGTGGATGCTCAGCAGTTCGTAGCAACACATCGACTCCTAAAGGTCTTCATTGTTTGCTTAGCTCGAATCTGTCAATAGCTATAACCTTCCGAACTGCTCTCCACAAAATTAACCTTCTAGTTAAAACTATTAAGACTTAAAAATAGAGTTATAATGCCGACAAGTGAGCTTGCCATACATATACACGAGTGACCATGATTGTTTAAGAGAGAGACAAAAGAAAATCAATAAAGGAGCAAAAAATGAAATACATAAGGAATAACAGTCGCGACATGAACGTATGCCGAAAACTGTACGGCTGAAGTGAGGTATATTAAAACTAAACGAACCCAGGTGTTTAGCAATGTTTGCCAACTGTTCATCCGAGCTCAGTTCGTTGACAACGGCTTGGATGAATTCCTCAGGAGCAAGTGGTAGCTGACAACGCAGGTAGGATGATAGAACTTGAGAAATAACTTTGTCACCTAAAGGATTGTGTTAGGCATGACGAATGGTAAACAAGGCAAGAAGAGATCAAAAAACATCACCAAAATTATGAAAAAGGAGGGGATTTACCTTTTTCTGCGAGTTCCGTGTTGCTGCCTTCACCCACTTCTGTTGACTGGCTCGGAGCGGCACGAGCCGCATCTTCTTCGATGTCAGCACGCGTGTAGAAAGAACTCGTTGTCAAAGCCTACGGAAAAACTTATGAAAAAATCGAACCCGGTGACTTCGACACTCCATTTGAAGTCAACGAGTGCAACAAAACTGGCCTAACAGACAGACAGATCAATCCCACCTTAACCAGCTCTTCAGGTTGAACATCTGGGGCACCGATACGATGACCAAAAGCATACACCTCCGAAGCGTAATTCCTGAAATGGCACCAGTTTCTCTCAGACCTTACATTTGACCATCAAAAACCTAACTCTATTCCATGTTGTGCCCTTTAACTTGAAAAAATCAAAAGCTAGCATCCAAGAAAACCATGGTTTATTCAGGTACCTATCAACTTTGAAACATCACAGAACAACGGATAAAAAGGAATCCGGAACGCACCTTTGCGTGTAGAAAATATGCATATAATGAGCAAAAGTAGGTGAAGCAATAAAAGGCACCGGATAACACAGATTGGTTCCTGATGTGAAATTTCAGATCCATAACAAATTTGGAGGTCAGTAAATAGGAGGTATACAACATGAGATAGTTAGTCTATGGTAAAAATTCCAAAACTATCGAGTCTTACACACTATTGACTAGAAAAACATACTACAAAATATCTACATCCTAAAAACGCCGAATTTCGTTTCAGGAATAGGTTTCTGCAGCGTGGCCTGCAATGTTAAACCTAGCACTTTACGTGTCTCACGAGGGTCGATAACGCCATCATCCCAAAGCCGTGCTGATGCGAAGTATGGATGACCTTCTTTCTCGAATTTTTCTTCAACTGGCTTTCTGAGCGCCTCGTCCTCCTCCTAAATGAACAAACATTAGTATGATTAGTGTAGGAATTGAACCCGCTGAACTTACCTGAGTCCATTGTGATCCCTCCCGTTGACGTTTATCACGTTGAACAGTTGCGAGGACATTCGCGGCCTGTTCACCACCCATCACAGAAATGCGGGCGTTAGGCCACATGAAAAGGAATCGAGGACCGTATGCTCGGCCACACATTCCGTAGTTTCCTGCTCCGTACGATCCACCAATCAGAACAGTCAACTTAGGGACAGAGGCACACGCTACTGCTGTTACTAGTTTAGCACCATGCTTGGCGATTCCTCCTGCTTCAGCTTCACGACCCACCTGAACAGAAACAACTTGGGGATACTGTAGCAAATGGAGAATCCTCCATAAGAAAAGACAACAGATAAATCACAGTTGCAAGCCAGAAGATAACCTCACCATGAATCCAGTTATATTCTGGAGGAACACCAGGGGAATTTTTCGTTGACAGCACAATTCAATAAAGTGTGCCCCTTTCATGGCGGATTCCGAGAACAGCACACCGTTATTCGCAAGAATTCCAACAGGTTGGCCAAAAATCTTTGCAAATCCTACACATATCAGAATCAATAAGGTAAATTGAAAACACTCCTAGAAGACAATGTTGAGGAGGCAACCCACCGGTCACAAGCGTTTCTCCGTACTTTTCTTTGAATTCATCGAAACGGGAACCATCAACAATACGTGCAATAACTTCCCGCACTTCAAACGTTTTCTTGAGGTTCGCTCCAACAATGCCAAGCAACTCTTCCGCAGGATACAGAGGCTCTTCGACTGTAAATAAAGATGTAAACAAGGAATAGAAAGTATGAATATAACCCAGCGAAAATTCACTGGAAGAATTCAAGTCGAGACGAGGTATGTACTTACAATGATCGGCGAATTCTGCGGCTCCCACAGGTGGTCCCAATCCGGCAACAGCGTTGCGGGCCAAATGGAGAGCGTGTGCATCGTTGTGTGCATAGTAATCTGTCACGCCAGATTCACTGCAATGAAGGTCAGCTCCTCCCAGTTCTTCAGCGGAAATCTGAGAATAACTGTCCATCGTAACTTCCAACCAAAAGTTGAGAAAGGCCTTTTCAACAATAGGGTCGGTTAATGAATAAAAAAGAGGTTGCCGAAACTTACATCTTCACCCGTAGCTGCCTTGACAAGAGGAGGCCCTCCCAGGAATACTGTTCCAGTGCCTTTGACTATGATTGCCTGATCTGCCATAGCTGGAACATAAGCCCCTCCCGCTGTGCAGCTGCCCATAACAACAGCAAGTTGAGGAATACCTTGACCGCTGAGGGTTGCCTTAATTTGATCTCATTGAGCCAATACTTCCAATTGTGAGCTAGAAGTCTTGAAAGTCTCGATGAGAAAAGAGGAAAAAGTAACGGGTACAAACTTCTGCTCACCTGGTTATAGAAAATCCTTCCAAAATGATCCCTGTCTGCAAAAATGTCAGCTTGACGGGGCAAATTCGCACCACCAGAATCCACCAGATAGATACAGGGTAGACCATTTTCCCTAAGAAATACTTTCATTTACGATTCATTGAAATCTAATAATAGGCTGTAGGGAATTACCTGGCGATGTCTTGTGCCCGGAGATGTTTCTTCACAGTAATAGGATAGTAGGTTCCTCCTTTCACGGTGGCATCATTAGCAGATATCATGCAAACTCGTCCTGAGACAGTTCCTAAGCCAGTGATGATGCCACCTGCAGGGACTTCTTCATTACCGTACATCTGAAAGCCGGCAAGCTGGCTCAGCTCCAAGAACGAGGTTCCTGGATCAATCAGAGTGTTGATCCGTTCACGCGCAAGCATTTTTCCGCGTTTCTTGTGCAGCGCTCGAGCTTTTTCTCCTCCTCCTTCAGTGATCTTCGAAATCTTCTGCCGTAGATCATCCACTATTTCCTTCATTTGAGTGTAATTCTGCTTGTATTCTTCGGAAGCAACATCGATGGTCGATTCGATTTGGGACCACTGTTGAACAGCTCCACCGAAACAATGGTGGGATCGCACGCTAAAATCTGCCACAATGCAGGGCAGGTATTCAAAATGAAAAACGCAAATACTGTAAGTAAAAAAAAGGTTTCAAACGGGCACTTGATCACATGGAATAGAGTTTTCATATGGAAAATAAGCTATACCAATTAGGATAGGATGAGCGATGAATAAGTGGGTCTGCTCCCAGTAACATCCTACGATGATAGAGATCCTTGTAGTAGGCACGTTCCCATCTTGCTCGAATAAACCTGCCTGAAAATATGAATTGAAATGTAGAACTCAAAGAACTAACAAAAAACATTTGAGCAGATTAGTCAGTGACTTTAAAACAACTTCTACTTCAAACTTTTCAGAAAAACACTTAAGTTTGTGAAGACAGATCCCAAGGTGTGCAAAGATTCCATACCAAATTTCGGGTCCCATGATGGCAAAGTACTTGTCTACAAGGTTATTCCCAAATAGACACATTGAAGAGCAACTCCGATTTTCACCTAACCAAATACTTTTCACACGAAATTCGATGATGACGAACTAAAATGGTTTTTTTAAGTGGTAATACTTATGGCATTGGCTATTTCTCCTTTACACGTAGAGGTCCATTCTTATGAATCTCAACTCTGACGAACTTACCCCTAAACACCGATAAACCAAGCTAAGACCTACATGCAGACTTCGAAGTCCAAAAAAGAGCCAAAGGGATCAAGGAGAAGGAGTTCTGTTTTTCTACACATATTTGGAATAGGATTCTATGATTTTCTTATTAGCAGCAACTATGACATGATTGAGCCTTTAATGAACATTGAATCAAAACACCTACATGCTTGTAGGGAAGTTGTCCGTGCAGGGATCTTTTGGCACACGCTTCCGAGCATTATGATGGAAGCGTACCCTGAAAACCTTGAGTTATTTGACGGTAATTCGAACAGCATTCAAGAAATTCGAGCATAGGTTGATAACAACTAAGGAGTATTATATTTTTTGAATACTTGGCTCTACATTAAAAAACAAACTGCGATAATTTTCCCATCGATTTTACACTTAGAGATCTGCATTCAGCTAATAATCAGTCACAAACAGCAAACGAAAACGATACCATGTTGATGTTCAGTTGCAAGAGCACTCTCTCCCATGGGGATGGCACACCCATCAGACTAGAACCCTTTTTACACAAATTTCGAGTAAGGAGCATGTTGGAAATTCGTCCAAGGAAAGAAGGGGCAACCGTAGGACTTCAGATATTTCCACAGCAACCACTGTCTCTTTACTGCACAGGTTTCTTAATAAAAATGGTAAAAGCTCAACCCTCGTACCGATCCGTTTCTTTGCTTTTTCCTCTAAGAAATGCAACTAAGAGCTTTGTGAAAAATGACGCGTTTTTATTTACAATAGAAGTTTGCCTTAGCCATATTGAAGATGGAACAGTATCTCTGAAGTTATTGCACCCCAGCACAAAATTTCCTTCATATCCTTTGTATGGCATTTTCTTAAAGAACTANTCAGCTAATAATCAGTCACAAACAGCAAACGAAAACGATACCATGTTGATGTTCAGTTGCAAGAGCACTCTCTCTCATGTGGATGGCACACCCATCAGACTAGAACCCTTTTTACACAAATTTCGAGTAAGAAGCATGTTGGAAATTCGTCCAAGGAAAGAAAGGGCAACCGTAGGACTTCAGATATTTCCACAGCAACCACTGTCTCTTTACTGCACAGGTTTCTTAATAAAAAGGTAAAAGCTCACCCCTCGTACCGATCCGTTTCTTTGCTTTTTCCTCTAAGAAATGCAACTAAGAGCTTTGTGAAAAATGACGCGTTTTTATTTACAATAGAAGTTTGCCTTAGCAATATTGAAGATGGAACAGTATCTCTGATGTTATTGCACCCCAGCACAAAATTTCCTTCATATCCTTTGTATGGCATTTTCTTAAAGAACTACCAAAAAACCATATGAAACCACAGCAACACATCAAATTTAGGGCATCCATCTCTATTCCAACCTTATTCAAGTTACTTCATAAAGCAATAACCTCTAAATCACAAGAAAACCAAAATAAACAACTTTTTCGTGCACGAACACAATCGAGAGCGAACGCAAAAACCGACCGATTAACGACCGTACCCTGTTCCACTGAGGACCGGCGCAGGGCATTTAAACCGCGAAATCAAAGATTTCGTGAGTTGTTGGCTTATTTGGTCAGTTTGCCTTCACCTCGTAGGTGGTCTCTATAGAGTTCCTTCCTGTTAAAGTTTGATTTTGGGAAGGTCTACTCCCAGACGGATTTGTCCTCTGCAGGAACGTGCCCACATCGAAGTCGGTTCTCACGTGGGAGAACTACTTTCCTTTTGCATTTCTCTTTTTTTATTGATAAGCTACGTAACGGTCACCAATCCCGAATGGGATTAATTGAGTAGGGAGCCGGGTAATGGGAGACTCTATATATGGCTTCAAAACGTGAATCCGCAGAAGATCTTATCTATAAGTTTAANTTCTTCACCCCATCCATTCAAAAACCTTATCTTCTTGCCCTTGCTACCCTTATATTGCACTTTTGATTAGCATGGGGTCGCCCCGTTCCTTTTTTGGCGCCAACTCCACTCATTTGGATTTCCTGTCAAATTATAATTTCAATATTTAGACGTTTACCGACACGGGACTAGCCGATCTGGCAACGACGAGAACGAACCGAAGGTGAGTTTGACTTATTCTTCTTGAATATTTAATAGTTCCGATCGAATCGGAAGTCTCAAACTCAGTTCGAATTGAGAAACCAACTCGAAGCCAGCTGGAGCTTCTTTATTTTGATGTTCCGACGTAGGTTCCTCCACGGTCATATGTGATTCAATAACTCCTTCCCAATTATTCCGGTACCTTACTTTCCCACACAGGTCACGTTTGGTACGGTAGTACTTTCGTTTAATGGTTCCACGAAATGCTATGCTTCAAGGACATTCAGATCGTCGGGTCAGGGCAATCCAGAAAACCTCGATTCGGCATTTGATGATAACTCAAGACGACGTTGGAGTAAAATGATTGACCATTCTTCCATCTTCAAAAAAAATTGGAGTTCAATGGTGGAACGAAGTGGACTTAAATGACACCTCAATGAAAAAGAAGGCTGCGGGTGGATTCGAATCTAATTCGTTAAGTACTATTCAGGCGTATTGTGAAATGAAAGGGTTAGGGTGAAGGGGAGCATAGGGTTTGCCGATATGTAAGCGGGAGAACGTTGAAGAACTTTTGCGAGCCAAGTACCAGATTGCCAACTATTTAAATGTGCTTAATTTAAGGAGTAGATTTCCTCTTGTTTTCCATAAAAAATATTTTTCAGTTGTATATGCAGTTGGGGAGGCTTTTTTTCCAAAATTTTGCTCTAAAACGCAGAGAAAGAGTGGTAGCATTTGCGAGCCCACGAAGGCGATTAGAAACGTTTTCAAGCCTAGACTATGTACTTTCTTTAAAACTAATCCTCAAAACGAGACCATAGGGGTGGATGAGTCAATTGGCATTCAACTCTTACCCAATCCCGTCCTTTTGCCCAGGCGATCATCTCACCCACTTCAGTGCTCCTCCCCTCTTGATGCTAATTTAAAAATTATACTCCTTTGCCAAGAACCGTCTCTAAGCATCACCAAAGTTGGCTAGCCCTCCTCTGTGCTCTAGCTCCCAACGATGGCCTCCAACTACATTCTCACCCCGTTGATACTCAGGTGCAGGTCTGTGGGCATAAATCACTTTGAACAACAGCTGGTTACCCTTCAAGACAAATGTTTTTAAATACTTGAAAGATACGCAGTTACTTAAGTGCTAATCTGGTATTTGGCATTCTTTCACTAAACTATCGAGGCGCTAGCTTTAAGATAAATCCTGTCCTAATGTGAGTCGCTGGGACCCTTGAAACAATGTTAAATACTTAGCAAATTGTGTTATTTCTGTATTTTCTATCAGCATTCATCCTCTTCTAACGCTTCATGAAATTCTACATCTTCATTCAAAAAGAAATTCTACATCTTTATTAAAAAAAATAATGGAATACAAACATTATCAGAATTCGACGCATCAATTTACGCTATATCCATTTGTACTTCACTAACAGCTTTTATACGAATAAAAATGGACAGTATAAAAAACAATATTAATTACTTCACTTCCTAATGGAAAACCCTAAACCCGATCGGTCATCGTTAAAGAAATCGCATAAAAATCATTTCTACAGCGAAAAAAATCTAAACGAAATAGATTCAGTACTGTCAACTAACAGAACCTGAAAGTCAGGTGGCAAGAACATAGGTACCTTATAACCGTCCTGACGGAAACCGAAAAAGTAAGCTAGAAAAGTTCAAGTACAATACAATAAGAGTAACACTCGTACCATGGGAAAGGCAACGGTTTCCTTGGATTGGCTTGTTTGGGAAGCGTTACACTGGGACTTTTGTGAGTGTTTCAGTATAATCTGCTGAAACTAGGTAGTCAAGGACCAATCCAACAAAACTTTTTTGCGTTGATTGCTGTAGATTTGGTTTTTCCGGTTGAAAATACCATCCCATATGATGATCGCATTTGCTACAAACACAAACAGTCCATTGCATTCCTGGGAACCAAGTTGCTTCGGTCGAAGGTTGTCCACGGAATTTCAAATGAGCACTTTTCGTAGTAAGCACGTGGAAAGTTTCTTCGGCTGGATTCTCGAATACATGAACTGTAGCAGTTTGTCCGACAATCGGGAAATCGTATTTGTACTTAAAACGACGTTCCGATACCGTAACATTCAGCAATTCCGATTGTCTTGTAATAGTTGCACCACAGTTTCGACACAGCAATTCACCAACATGGCGACTTTTAACGAATAGTACGTGGGTGACGAGAAAAATCAGTTGTAGTAGGGAGGATGGCAACATTTTCGAGGAAAGCGACCAATGTAGTGGGTTATAATGAGAAAGATAGACAACTCCTTACAACTGCATAGTTTCTGCGTGCGGTCGCGTCGCGGACTAAAGTTTGTTTCATGTTAATTCGTGGTTCAATTTTTATAATCTCTCACAGGTACACTGTTCCTATACGACATTTCAACAAAGGGAAAAGGTTATCGGAAGAGAAAAAATCGCATTTCCCCCTCAGCCTGAACAGTTGAGGTCGTTTTGGCTGTTTTCAGATGTCCTCGAAACTTTTCCGGTGATGAGGGTCGACATTTTCTTACAATTTCCTGAGGATCATCGGATTAATTTGAGCAGTTGGGCCCCTAGGCCAACTAGGTATTGTTCAGATGTCATCATGAATGGAGCTTGCTCATAGCTGACTGTTCTGGGAGCTGACCTCAATGGGAACAGGTGTGTCGGTGACGTAAGGCAGCGTGCTGCTATCGCCACCACCACCTCCCACAACAACCAAGCTGTGGTTACGGTATCGATCGATGCGATTGCCCTCGCGTCCTCCCTTCCCTCCCCCCCGGAGACCGACCACTGACCGAGCCACATAACACAGTTGAGCGTTCTACGTCGTCCCGGCCAGGGCCATTTACTCACAATTACGGTGCTAGATTAGCATCTCTTCCCAGTCCCCCTCGTCCCATTCTCTGGTACGGAGGAAAACTCTTGTACTAGATGAATGATGCATTGGATTCAAGGTTAGTCGCCGTTTAACCGTTTAATTACACGCTCGCAGTCATTTGTTTCCTACGATACGTTACCCTTCATGCTTTTCTATAGGGTTAATGTTTGTTTAAGAATTGGAGTCCTTTCCATCGTTAAAGTAACCAGCGGACCCTTTGAACCTGATACCTTTTTCTTAAGTGTGAAGTTCATAGAGCCTAAGCAGTTTTCATAGGAAGGTGTTTCGTTCTGTTTACTTTCAACTAGCTGTAGTGTAGCTGTAGTGTCCCATCTACAGTCAAGGTCCCTTTTTCGACTACGAAAAAGTTCATACAAAGATGCTACTTTCCAACTAATTGCGACAGGAAGCGGTTCTATGTAAACTGTTTTCTGTCCCAATTCGTTCAGAATTAGTATATTCCTGAATAGATGCCAGTAATGAGAAAGAACTCGTTATCTCGCTGCTCCCTGGGGTCTCCGTGGGCTTTCTATAGCTGTGGTGTTAGCTCTTGAATAAAAAATGGGTTAGCATGGACATGGACATTGAACGAAAAAAAAAACCATCAGGTGTATTTATTTAAATAATGAACTAAAAAGGCAAATAAAGGGGAATCATTGGTCTGTAAGTTACTGATGTCATACGAAAGGTTGAAAACTTCTGTTCAGTAACTGTAGTGTTCTCTTTTCGAAGACTTTAGTCACTACTGTATTGCTTTTTAATATTGTTATTATTATTATTATTACTTTTATTATTTACTATTATTAAACATCAATTTTATATTATCAAAAACAAATTACAAATATAGAAACTGTGTTGTGGAATCCTACTGTATTTATTGTACTTATTGTTAGAACCGTGTCATATTTTTATCAAACAATATTGTAGCTCGATGGCGCCACCCAAGCGTGTTGGATTGTCTGTCGCGTCGAGAAATCAAAACGTTGCTGCTGCACCTGTTGGAAAATTATCCCGACAACATGGCTCAAGTAATCTACTAAAGGAAAATGTAGCCAAGAAAGGCCAAAAAGAGGAAAGAACCATAAAGGTGGGCCTACAATCTTGCTGCTCACATACTATTTACTTTTTGATAATGGCTAATAGAACGGTCAGTTAGCGATGGCAGTCTACCGGGCTGCTGTGAAGTGAAAAATTGTTGATGCTCGTGTTGGGCCTGTTTAAATATGCTTCCTCTAACCTATTCGCTTACAGTATCCTGCCGCTAATTCCGGCGTTTCTCAGTCTCGAGCTGTGGTGCCACCTATCAAACCGGCATTTGAAGTCTATTGCGACGATGACGATGAGAACAATATCATTCATCAGCTTGAAAAGCAATGCCAAGAGGAGAGAAAAGTGGTAGAAAAAGTGAGCGCAGTTCGTGAATTGTGAACCCCACGAACTTGTTACCCTTTAAGCTCCAACCATGCTTTTTTTTAGCCCAAGGTTGCCGCTGTTCGCAGACCCCTAGCAAGTCTTCCGGTCACCACATTGGATTACAATTCAGACGATGACGTTAGTTTGTCCCCATTTTCCACTCCTCAATTTCACTTCGGAGCTCATTATTTGTTATTTAGGAGGTGTTCTCCACCGTTTCTCAGGTCCCATCCATCCCTCTCACGATTCGATCTGAATTCTCAAATTTTGGTATGAATGATGATGACGACGCTAAGTCATCGTTATACGGCAGTGCATTGGATTATGAGATAGACAGCCGTGATGAGTATGTGACAGCCATTTCCGAGAAAGAACTACGGGAAGATATCATCTACGCCAATCCGGAGTTTTCAGATGACATCTACAGGTTGGTACGAGCTGCGTATTACCCGATACTACTTTTGAAACGAGTTACTTGCAGGTATATGAAGCACAGAGAGGTGAAAGTACGTCCAAAACCCAATTATATGTCAAAACAAGACGACATTAATCCTGAAATGCGGGCTATACTCGTCGATTGGTTGTCGGACGTCGTTCAAGAATATAAAATGCATCAGGTAACTAGGTATTCAATTATAAGAAACCATTTTGGTGCGGCTTACTTGCGCTCCAGTTCTCTAGCCCCAAAGTTTCAGGAAACTTTGCACTTGGCAATCTCGTTAGTTGATCGTACTCTCTCGAGATTTCGCACAAACCGCGATCGTCTTCAACTTATCGGCACAACAGCTATGATGATAGCAGCGTAAGTTCTCTGAATCTATTGGATACGGTAGGCTATCGTTGTTTGAGACTATATATGTTACCGTTTTAGAAAATACGAGGAGATATACCCGCCTGAATTGAAGGAATTCACCTATATAACTGATGACACATACACAGCTGAACAAGTAAGCTTCGAACAATTCCTACATTCATTTATTTTTCATTATTTCTTACCATTTCCGATGATCCTAGGCTTTTAAAGAATATAAGTTTTTCTAAAGGGAAGGATAACTTGCTAATATGAGCTCTGAATCTAAAACATGTTCGATTATCATCTGAATTCTTCAAGTTCAAGGGGAAATGAAATTTTTTCTCCAAGGAGTGGAACATTCAGGGTTACTCTGAATCTAAAACATGTTCGATTATCATCTGAATTCTTCAAGTTCAAGGGGAAATGAAATTTTTTCTCCAAGGAGTGGAACATTCAGGGTTATGAAATTCTTTGGTTTTTATGTATGCCCAAATCGAACATTTTAGATACTACAAATGGAGCGCGTCATTCTGAATGAACTACGATTCGATGTCGGTACTCCTACATCGCAATGGTTTGGTGGTAGATTCGCACGCCATCAGAAAGCTTCTCGAAAAACCATAAATACCATGAATATGCTGCTGGACCTTGTTCTACTTGATATCAGCTACATTGCTTATCGACCGTCATACATTGCTGCAGCATGCTTGTGCTATGCCAATGTTCTTACAGGTACCCATAACTTATCAGTTTTTTGTTTTTAGTAAACCTTTATATCAACTGTTTGAGTCTGGGGGCAGGGTTAAAGTTAAAATTCTGGTTAATTTTGAGAGCTGCTCTAAGGTAAGAGTATGTAGAGCCAAAAAAAAAAACTGGTTGCCTCTAATTTTTATAAGAATGTTTCTGCTTTTTAATTATTTTTTGCCTTTTCAAACATATCTTTAAGGGCCAGCCCCATGGTCTACAGAGATGGAGCGGTGGTCTGGTATCTCTGTTGTTGATATATCAAATCTTCTGCGTGCCCTACATGAAACGTTTCGGTCGTTGCCGTCGTCCAAGTATCGGTCAGTCCCTCAAAGGTACAGTTCCCCAGAATATGACTTCGTCGCGGATCTTCCTCCACCCGCTCAGTTGCCATTATGATAATAGCTGCCGTTGAATTCTTTTATCCCCACACATTTGGTGGCCAATAGGTTTAGCACTAATCACAATCTTTTTGTTCTTTTTGTGAGATCTCACCTTTAACTACAGACTTTCATTAACGTACGCGGTATTTACAAGATTTTGCATACCCTAATTTCCCGTAGCTACGTTAAATCACAGTGTACAAACTTATTTATTTTATACTCTTTAAGTATTTACCAAGTATTGGGAATGATACGAAGAAAAAATCTCTCGGAATAGTTTGGAATATTGAACTCTTATGTTTAGTATTATGTCTGAAAATTTGTATTGAACCCTCACCCGAAAAGAGTTGATTAATCTTCATTGTCTGTGAATTTGCCCACAATATTTGCATGTTGCTAAACATATTGAAAACTCCTGACATATTGATCCACTAACATTAACCTTCACTTTAACCTATGTATCTTATGTGTCTAATCAAGACCAGTTATTGCTTACTATCGTGTGTATGATGATAACGAAAACGAAATAAAGGAATTCCTGTAACCTGCTAACGTTGAGGTTGAGGTTTAAGGTGTTTGTAGATTTTTTCATTTAAGCTGTTTGTAGATTTTCCAATCACCAACAAAAAAGCATGCATTTCCTGAAAGGAATAAGGTGCTTGAATTCCTACGTGGGTCGATCATNGAAATAAAGGAATTCCTGTAACCTGCTAACGTTGAGGTTGAGGTTTAAGGTGTTTGTAGATTTTTTCATTTAAGCTGTTTGTAGATTTTCCAATCACCAACAAAAAAGCATGCATTTCCTGAAAGGAATAAGGTGCTTGAATTCCTACGTGGGTCGATCATCGCTCTCAACAGGCATCTTAGGATGCTATAAGTATAAAAGGATGTGCTGATTGTGTAGATCTCATCAAAAAATTATTATTCCTTTTCCTGTTAAACACCTTTACTAACAAAGCAAGTAGCCGAAATTGTTTCGAGTCTTCCATCAGACAGTACTAGGCAATTTACGATGAACGAGAGGAATTGGTTGATAGCCGAAAATTCTTTTCACTTAGCTTTAGACCTAGAGCAGTTAGAGCTTAATGTTAGAGCTCCGGTTCTGGAACAGAAACACTGATAAGGATTGACAGGGAATGGTACCGACTAGTACAGACGGGGATAAAAGGAGCTAAAATGAAGATGTGACTAGATTAGTTGGGCCACTGTTCATTAAAGCGCTTGTACTGATGAACAGTGTATAAAAGGAGGAGGGAGTGGAAGGGATTCGTTGGCTTCTGGATGAAAAGATGATAAGAATAATATCTTCTTGGCGCTGATATATAGCTCTAAGGTTGACGAGACTGACGAATGATTGATAAAAGAGATATGATAAAGGTATTGGTGGTGAGTGACAGAAAGAGATAAGGACTGATAAGAGCCAATAAGACGCCACAGCAGCTGAAATACACCGATGTGGGTGACCTTTTTACCTTCTGAGTGACCTTTTTGGTACCTATTTTCAGATCTCCCACACCGTCACGACCTTTCTCAACAACTGGGACTACTACTATTCGAAATAGTCCGCAAGGGGTTTCGAGTAGCACTTTTGCCTGTTATCACAACAGTGTGCACTAGCCGTACTGGTTACTATATAAAGACAGTATGCCCAGCTGTCCCCTGAACTCGTAGAAGAAAAATGTTTGTTTCAGAGCTGATCTATGAAATTTCTATTACTTAAAGATTCTCCCGAGGAAATAATAATATCGATTTATGAAAGCACCGATCGGCTACTGGAGTATAAATGCTCCAGAATCTTCAGAGGTTAACATAGGAGTGGAGCAAAAGAATTCCAATTGATGATGCGGGGAGATCGTGCCCTTTCTACACTAAGCCACTGAGCGGATTGAAGTTGGAGACTCGGGTGTAAACAATCCAATGGGTCGTATACTTACCTACTGGATCGAAATCAAAAACGACATTGTAATCGATGAAATTTTGAAAAATTCAAAGACAAGGTAGTGAGATAGGTGTATATTTACAAAAGCTCGAAGTACCTTAGGGTCATAGGACTCGTTCAACAGAAGCATGTGAGGGGATAACAAACCTTATAAAGTCACATGAAAATATAAATTTGAAAATGTTTTATTAGCCCAAAGGTAAGTACACTTCTGAATCAGCTTAATTTTCAATTGAGTCACATGATACAGATATAGTAGGGTCCCTTTAGTGAAACCGCGTACATCTAAAACTTAATAACTTAATAAAGGTTAGTCGGTATTTTCAAAAAGAACTGCGACTCCTTGGCCGCCTCCTATGCAAGCTGATCCAATGGCATACTTCATGTTACGTCTCCTGCAAACACTCATTCATTAGCTGAAGAACCACCTCGATTCAGGCAAAATGGCTCTGCCACTTACTTCAGTTCATGAGTTAGGTGAACACTGATTCGTGCTCCAGAAGCACCTAGAGGATGACCAAGAGCGATGGCACCACCGTTCAGGTTGAGCTTCTCCATGGGAATTCCGAGTTCTCGTTGGACGGCCAGGGCTTGAGGAGCGAACGCTTCGTTTACCTAAACGGTTAGGTTACGGTCGAGAAATGAAACTATTCTGTGAACTTCAAAATAATCGCTTCAGCAGGTTGTGGCAAAAAACTTCAAACGGTACCTCGAAGATATCGATGTCGTCGATCTTCAGACCAGTATGGGCTAGAACCTGGCGTATGGCGGGTGCTGGTCCGATGCCCATAATCGTTGGATCGCAACCTTAACATTTTTTGTATGCCTCTTCGAATTTTTATCGGATTCAGAGACACCACCCACGGCGACTGTGTGGAACATGACATTTGAGGCGCTCTACCCATTCTTTCCTACAAGGAAAGGGAATCCAGGGGTGAAAAATTCCTAAGCGGCATACCGAACGACTCCTACCATAGGCTCAGTGAGGATGATGGAATTAGATCATGTCATTAGAGGGTTTTCAAAAGACTAACCAACAGTCGCGTAACTGACAACTCGAGCCAAGGGTTTCAATCCATATTCTTTGATAGCGTCCTCTCCAGCGACGACCATTGCAGCAGCGCCATCACATATACCCTGACAAAATTATGAAGATTGGCATGAATGGACTCGATAATGAGCCGAAAGCTGCGATGTACTCACTGAGGCATTTCCTGCATTGATCAGACCGTCTTTTTGGAATACTGGTTTCAATTTGGCCAAGGATTCCATGGTTGTCTCTGGTCGAGGATGCTCGTCCACCTGCACAAAAAAGTTGTAAATGTGAAGTTTTATCGTCAATCAGGAAATAAGAGGAGTTAACTGACCTCAAATGTCTCTTCGCCCTTTCTCCCTTTAACATTCATAGGTGCAATTTCTGCCTTGTAGAATCCTGCATCCTGAGCTTTCTTCCAGAGCTGCTGTGAGCGAAGAGCAAAAGCGTCAGCGTCATTACGACTCACCTAGAACAGGTATAACTTTAGCAGACAACAGCACTACTACGGTAATAAACTGCTCAGATATTGCCGAATAACCTTACCTTGTACTGCGCTCCAAGCTTCTCCGCAGTTTGACCCATTGCAAGTTTAGCGTATGAATCTGTGAGTGACTCCCATAGCATGTCTTCGAACTTAATATCACGAGCTTGATTTTATGAGTGACATAAAAGCGAGATTTCGGTTCTTACTGGCATTTAAACGTTGTCGGTCTCTAGTTAGTTAGTTATTACTTGAGTTACTTCACTTTTGCAGAATTCATAGTTGTTTACTGCTACTCCAACTGCGTGAACACACATAGCACATGCTCTGCAAATCGGTAACTCAACTACGACTACTAAATTCCTGTTTCTCTATTTCTCTCATGAAAATCGCTAGGTTCTTCGCCTCTGAACCAAATGCGTCCTTGCAGGGCCGGTGAAGAATAAAGTTGACATCATGTTTTTATTCACTACTATTATTTCGCCGCAGTACGCGGTCCGAGTGTTTCACTGGGCTAGTGAGCTGCGGGCGAATTTCGGTCTCGGACGTTATTCGGACCATTTCCGTGCAAGCCCAAGTACGAGTTCGAGTTCCGTCTGAGGCCGAAGTTCCGCCCATAGGTCGCCAACACTGTGAGAAGTGAAGACTGACAAAACATCACATGTACTCTTCTCTGGCTGTGGAATATGGATGAGAAAAAGTTGTACCGAAGACTGGACCAAAAAAAACATATGGAGTCCTTTGACAGACCTCATATTTCATTCCGAGTGCAGTACCGAATCGAACATTTCGAACAGCAAATGGTGTTTGAGTCATGTTTTCAGTACCTCCTGCCACGACGAGTTTTGATTCGCCGAGTTTGATTTGCTATAAATAAGGTCTTAGGTGACTAAATGAATGAATATGAAGTGACTAGTATGAAGTGGAATTACGTGTGCAGCATTGATCAAAGCCTGAAATCCTGATCCGCAGAGACGATTCACTGTGAGAGCTGGTATATTCTGAGGGACTCCACTTCTCAGCCCGATATGTCGTGTCAAATATATGCCATCCTTAGAACTTGCGACTACATTACCTGAAGAGAAAAGTTATCAAGAAAATAATTGTTTGCGTTACATTCCGCGAACGGAATGGTGCCGTAGGGGGGGGGGGGCAGGGGTAAGAAACTTGGTGGTGATTGGCTTCATTAGCAAAAAGCTGCGCTTCGAGATGGATTTGGAATGAATATGAAGATGAGCACAAAACAGCCTTTATTTCTTTCATATAAGCTCTCATAACAGCCCATAATTCTTTAAAACATATGATATAAAGGGAAAAATAAGAAGAAACAGATAACGAAGGTCGTTCTCGATAAGATGACGAAAAAAAAAAACAAGCGACAAAAACCTGCAGCGCGAGCACTTTTAGGGCAGACAGGGTGTTTCACCAAATGAAAAGCTAAATTATTCCCAAAATAAAAGAACTAACCAAAAATGACGTGATCGATATTATCGGCTTTGACGGAGGCATGTTGAAGAGCGGCGATGGTGGCGAAAACGCCGAGGTCAGTTGCGGAGTGATTTTTCAGTTTTCCTCCGAACGTACCAAATGCCGTTCGTTTAGCTCCCACGATAAAAACACCTGAAAGCAAATATTTGCAGGGACACTGTAGTGGGGAAACGATGGAGGTATTAAACAGAAGCAACTGACCAGATTTCGAAGCCATCGTCTTTTACTCGCAGGAGTAGTAACTGACTGGAAATAATGCAGTTCAATTGTATTTTACAGAAATAAACTGTGTAGAGGAATTCGAAGAAGTAACAAAACTTTTTCGATAACTAATCAAAACAGGTACAGGTACAGTCTAGCGAGCGTTCG